CCCTTACTGCACCCCCTGCCAACCTGGTTGCCCCCACCTGCCACCCCTAACTACTTTCCTGCCTTATCACCCCTAATTACTCTGCCTGCCTGCCTGCCTGATCACCCCTCACTGCCTCTGCCTGCCTGCCTCATTGACCCTAACCACTTGCCTGCCTTCCTGATCACCCCTAACCACTCTGCCTGCCTGCCTCATTGCCCCTAACAACTTGCCTGCCTTCCTGATCACCCCTAACCACTCTCCTGCCTGCCTGATCTCTCCTAACCACTCACCTGCTTGCCTCATCACCCCTAACCACTCTGCCTGCCTGCCTGATTGCCCCTAACTGCTCACCTGCCTGCCTTATCACCCCTAACTGCCTCTGCCTTGGCCCCTGCCACCGCGGCTTCATCCAGAAGGACGTCCGGAATGACGTCCAGATGGTTGTTCGGCTGTCTGGTCTAATTAGCATATTACACATTTATTATTATAGATAGTGGGCTTTACAAACATTATAGAAATCAATCTTTATTCACAATTATGTAAATTATTTCCCAATCCATTGCTATTTTTTCATTAATTTTGTCATTATTTTAATATCATCAACTTTGTAGTTCTTTTTTGTTATGCTTTTTATATATTACTGTATACTATAAGCCAGAATTAAATTTATATATTACTGTAAGCCAGGATAAAAAGATATCAAAACACATGACTCTGTAGATCTGATATGATGAAAGTCTGTTTTCTACCAGCTTTTTTCTGACATGTTCCTGTGCATTTAATCTATCTGTACGTACTTTTAGTAGATGAAATACCTTTGAGTCTAATCATGGGTCAGCCATCCTTGTTCTCTGTGAGGTGCCCTCCCACCCCGACACAAAGACACTGACTGTCATGTGTCTCTATCATGTAGAGCTAAGTGTGCCCCCTGCTCACTCTGGGGTCCAACAGATCTATTTCTTTTGAGCATCTGCTATTCCCACCTGGTTTAGATTTTGTCATGGCTGTATGTCCAACACCTGGTAATGCTGGATCTACCTCTCCATTCTTCCTTTTGTGTTATATGTTCCCATCTTACATTTCTTTAATATAATCTTTAGAATCAGGTTGAGAATCAGGTTGATTCTTGCCTATTGAAATCTTTTATTAATCTATATATATAAAAAGCCAGCAACCAAAACACCATAACAACCTCTGTCAGGAGGAGGAGATGGCAAGAGGTTGGCCAGCCGGCCCGCCCTGATCGGGGCCTGGTCAGGGCAGGGCTGATCGGAGGTGCAGCTGAATCCCCAAAGAAAACACTTTCAAAAGAATTTATACCCATAGGAAGTTGCATAGAACACAGAAAGATGTCAAAACACATGACTCTCATGGCCTTTGAGCCAACACCTTGAGCCGATTCCTTTGCGGTAACTAGGGACATGTTGAAAACCACAAAAACTGCTTCAATTAATGAAGAACTAGATAGTGCAAACCAGAACACTGCATCTGCCCCAAAAAGTGGGCACCAGTGCCTCGCCTTGTCCCAAGGTTGGGCAAGTTTATCTCAATGTAGGAAGTTGGTTCTCAACATCCTTCACAGATGGAAGTCCTCACCCCTAGACATGAGTGCAAGGGTACACACACACACACACACACACACACACACACACACACTTGACATACATCCCAGACCTGAAGAGAGGTCACAGACACTACCCAAATGAGCCTCAGAGGTGACAGGCATGATCTTTTCAACCTTAGTTCTTAAAAACTGGGCCAGACCCTCCATCACAGGTCATCTTCTTAGGCACCTTCTTTTTCCTGGTGGCGGAGCTTGTGGGCACATTCTCTGGACCAAGGGCATCTGAGGGCTCTTCCATGTGACCACAGTCAAAAAGACATCCACACAGAAACTCCAGGTTCTCCCTCAGGAGACTGTGCTCACCTAAACAATGCCTCGCTCTTACTGGGTGGCCTCTGCCATTTGGCCAGCAGCCTTTTCTAAACAGAACATTTGCATTGGCTCCAATCCCACTGGATAGCAGGGCCTGTTTTAGCCTCATTAGAGAGAAATGTTCTGTAAGAGAAAAGCAGGACTCGTGACACGTGATGGAAGGGCATCTATGTTATATTAAATTCACACCGAAAGACACATTCAAGGGAAGTGCAAGAATGTGCCAAAAGTAGAATCAGAGAGATGCCGTGTGAATCTGCCTCTCCTAGCTGCACGATGTTGGAATAATTAAATAAACATTTTAAATCCCATTTATTAAAGAGGAATGAGGATATCATTCAAAATTAATGTGAGGGTTAAATTAAATCATTGATAGAAACTCCCTCTGCACTATTCCTGTCTGAGAGGACAAAGGAAAACAATTCGTAATATGGGTTCAAAGGATGCACTGCTCCATCCGTAAGCACAGCCTGTGCCCTCCAGGACTTCTCCCCTCGCCGAGGTGACAGTGGAAATATTTACAACAGAGGTAGGTCCTCAGCCTTTTGGGTCATAGATCTCTGAGAAAATTTAAAGAATGTGAAGAGCCGCTTTTTCCCAAAGAACTACACAATCAACATTCCAGGCGCAGACGTCGATGGACACCTTGAAGCGCATCCGTGGGCTGCTCCGTGGAGCCCAGGCTAAGCCCGCGGGCCTTGAGCAGTCCCACCTGCACGCCCACCTTTCAGCAGCAGGAAAGGATGAGTGACAGTGACAAGACTCAGCCTAATTACATCCTAAGCCAGTGTCCACAGCTGAGGGCTATTCAGTCCATCCCAGACCCTGACAGTCTTTCCATAAACCAGGACTTCTCCCCACCCCACTCCACACCTCACGTTAGGGCATAAGTCTGACTGCCAGTCCTTTGTCTACATGGGGAAATCCAACAGGATTGAATGTATTCATAAGGCTGCATCATCTCGCTGATGTTTCTTCCTCCTTTTTGATTTATAATAAAAATAGCTAACACCTTTTAAGCCCTTACTACATGCCAGGCAGTGTGCCAAATGCCTGGCTCGGATTGTCCCCTGACTCTTACAATGAGAGCATGCGGTGGGATTTGTTATCCCCATTTGGCAATCGGTAGCTGAGTCTTGGATGGTTGAAGAGCCATTTTGCTGCAAGTCACCCGCTCGTGAGGGTGGAGCTAGGTTCAGAGCCTGAGCTGCTCACCTTGAAGCCCCGCTCTCACCTCTCTGTGCTCCACAGCCTCCCTCCAGGGCACGGAGAGCTCCTGGGCATTTCACACGCCCAGCACTCATGGTGCCTCCTGAGTCCTCAAAGCACTGCTGGCTCTTCCCGTAGCCCCAGCCCTGAGGAGCTCTCTCCACAAGACTGCCCTCCACAGGGCAGCCGCTCCCTGCTTGCTCCACACTCTGTGAATCCATGTTTCATTCCCACAGTTGTCAGCTGTCTGACTTCCCCATAAATGGCATGTGCGGTCTTCAAAGCTTCCATGTCATCCCCTCTGTTCACTTGTTTTCTATTTCAGGGAAGAACAAACCCTCTTGTCATGTTTGAATTTCCAATACCCACCCACGTGATCAGCTTGCCTGCCACCGTCCTCTAAGCGTCCAGTGCCATCGTTTGTGCTGAGAGTGTGCTGGGCCCCGAGGATGAGCGTGAACGGGTGTGTTTCAATTACAACCCAAATCCGGGAGCCAGTGCCCCAGCACGCCTCAGTGCACCCTGAGAGTGTGCTCATGTGGAAGTTTCTTGAACACTCAGCATTCTTTTAAGACTAGAACTACATATGTGGAGGCACTTTAACAGCTGGAAGGTACTTTAGCAGCCTGTCAAGATGTCAACCCGCTCTACTCCCAGTCTCACATTGTTCTTCGTCCTCCTGTGACCTCAACAGCACGATCGGACCCCAGCCTGGTGACCCAGTCCCAGCTTCTAGTGGCTTTCTTTTTTTTTAATATATTTTATTGATTTTTTACAGAGAGGAAGGGAGAGGGATAGAGAGTTAGAAACATCGATGAGAGAGAAACATCGATCAGCTGCCTCCTGCACACCCCCCACTGGGGATGTGCACACAACCCAGGCACATGCCCTTGACCGGAATCGAACCTGGGAGCCCTCAGTCCACAGGCCAACGCTCTATCTATCCACTGAGCCAAACCGGCCAGGGCTTCTAGTGGCTTTCTTGATCAAGAAGGAGCTTGCTGTGCTGAGCCACGGTGGCTCAACAAGAAGGGCCACATTACATGAGACCAAGACTTGCTTTCTAAAAATTTCAATACCGAACCCAGAGGCAGGCAGGAGCCGAGGAAGCAGGAGCCAGTACTTCACAGGCAGCGCACCAGCGAGCGCGAGGCGGCAGGGTAGCACTGAATCGTCCTGCGCGGAGTAGGAGCCCGGGGGTCACTGGGACTGTTACTTACTCACTGTAAGATGCTGGGAACGTCCCCAGTGTGTCCTCTGTAAAATGTGAACAACAATAACCTTTTCCTTTGGGTGGTTGTCGTGGACGTGGACCATGGTAGGTGCTCAGTGAAAACGCCTGCGTGGTGACATGTGACCAGAGGGGCGGTGGTGGGAGCACGGTGCTGCCCACAGGCCATCAGGTAACCAGAGTGGCTGAAACAGTGAGCCACAGGGAGAACTCGGTCCAGCCCCATCTGCCCGAAGTGATACCCACCTGAGGGCGCCATCACCTGGGTCTGTGAGCTCCTCTCCGTCCTCCCATTCTCGCTCACTATCAGGGTACTCTTCTGGGGGCAAGGACTCTGAGAGCACCCCAAGAACAGAACTGCGGCAAGGGAAGCTCCCTGAATTCGCCTCCAAACATTCCCCACAGGCAGCCAGCCTCCGGACGCACAGCGGATGGGAAAATTCACTTCTTCCTCCGCGGAGGGAGAAGGGACTTCAGGTGGATGGCACGTGTCAGCTGCCGCACCATCCAGTTCAGGACTAGAAAACAGAAACCCAGCGTCTTCTGGCATCGATCAGAGATGCCTCTCCCTGTCTTCCCTTGCTTTTTAGGATTCTCATCATGGCACATCACAGGAAAGCCAGCCAGGGTTCAAACAGTCCTTGCCAGAAGCTGCTCTGGGGCCATGAGGTAAACTGAGTAAGGCATGACCCCTGGAGGAGCCCCCAATTTAATGGGAATAGTGAGCAGGAAATATCACAATGCAGGTAATGAGTGCTATGGTAGAGGCAGCACAAAGCATTATGGGTGCAGGGGAAGCCCCTGACCAAGCCCAGGAGACCATGGGGACTTGCTAAAGGGCAAAGCATTGAAAGTAGAGCTATGACCCAGTTCCAGGAATAACTCTTCACATGGGAGTCAGTCAGACCTCGGGCAAGTTTATTAACTCCTCTGGAACCTCAGTTTTCTCATCTGAAAAATGGGAAGATCAAGCAACGTATAGGATGTTGGGATGCTTACATTAAATAATTCTGATACAGCCCTCCATGGTTCCTCTTACAAAACAAGGTCTCGGAAAGTAGGAGATGCTGTTACTACACTGACTGCGAGTGTTACTTCAACAGAGGAATTCGGTGGAAAAGGAGAAAGCGGTGGTTGGGTGCAACTCGAGCAGGTGACTTGCAAAGCACTTTGTGCGAATATCAGGTCCTTTCCTGAGCATGAAGAGGTGGCCGTTGGGAGGCAGCCACTACAAGGACATTTCCTCCTTGTGTGACACAGGAGGCAGATGAACGCTGGGACAGTGTCTGGCAGCAAAGACACAGACACACAGTGAAAGAGCAGCTCCTAGAGGCGGCCCGAGGCAGCACGCATGCTGTTCATTGCAAAGAGCGGCCCCTGCAGACCGCAGAGCATTTTGCACATGCAGAGAAGGTGCTCAGAAAGTGTCTGTTGAAGGTCTGGTGAGGAATGATGAGTAGGAGAATCTGAAACAATGCGCCCAGATCTAGTTTTTCACTAAATACACACTTCTTTGTTCATCAGCCTCCTCCCCGACCCCCAAACCAATGGGCTGGCTTTGTTACATTATGGGGTGTGAGGTCTCCTGCCCTTAAAATCGGCTCTGGCACCTCCCAGCAGCTACAAGCCCCAGACTACCACAGGGCGCCTTCCTCCCCAGCAGAGTCAAGTGTCTGCTCCAACCTCAGTTTTGCGGACAAGAGAGCTCACTTCTGCTCGTGAGAGCCGCAGGGTGCGTGTAAATGTGCACTTCGTGTAGATATACACTCATTCCTGTGTCTATAAGGAGACTATGCAACAGACTAAAGAGGAACATTCATTTAAAAGGAAACTATTTAAAAACCACTCAGCACTTCAAGGGAAAATTGGTTTTAAACCTTAAGATACTTGGCTGGATTGTATAGAATATGTGGTTTCTTAATTGTATAGAAATTGTGCTGAAAACCATGGAGGTTTGTTAAAGAACGGGAAAGCCAGCCTGTTGCCGTCTGCTCATCTGAATTGTCCATCAGCCACAGCAGTGAGGGACTGTCCACTGCCGCCACCACACTGCGCCCACCTTTCTAACAAACCTCTTGCTCTCCTGCTTTGATTTGGGGCTCAGCTATGGGCCCTGCCTGAAGAGAGAGCCAGGGAGGCATCAGCCTGGAAGGCAAGGGCAAGAGGCCCAAGTGTCCAGAGACGGCTTGGTGGCCCCCAAGGTGAAAAGCCCTGGCCATCATCCCATATAAGTCAGGGAGCAGCTGCCTTTCCTCCTGCCCTTCCTCACCCCCCAGGCTGCCCTGGAGCTGTGGCCTGGAGTTTGATTATGGGTGTGGGGAACGGTGAGCAAGAGGCCTGTGAGAGCCCCAAGGCACAGCCCACTTTATGGAAGGGCAGGACCTGGAGGCTTGGGGAGTGAATAAGGATGGTGGCATCGCTGCAGAGCAAGGCCAGATGTCTGGGCAGGTGACCAGCGGGTGAAGAGGCAGAGTCCTTCATCAGGGCTCGCAGCCAGTTCAGGGCACCCGGGATAATGCAGCAGGACTCCCACCTGGAGCCTGAGGGCCCAAGGTCCCAGAGCTCTCTGCTGACCTCCAGGTACAGTCAATGACCTAGTCCTAGTTACTCCCGCCCTCCCCACCCCCACCCCCCAAGCTGTCTGACTAAAGAAGCCTTTTATAGACACATCCTAGAGGAGGACCGGGAGACTCCGGGTGAGCTCCCGGCCCCGCCATCCTCCCCACACGAGCTGGCAGGGCCCTGGAACCCAAATGCAGCCCCTCCTCGGAGCTGCTTCCGAGGAGGCGCCCCGCCAGGCTCCGAGCAGTGCAGTCGCTGTGAGGCGTTTGCTTGTAGAGGGTGTGTGCTTCCCTGGACAGGCTCCTGAGACACTCGTCACTGAAGTCACGTCCCCTTCCAGGAAGACCATTCAGATGAGCAGACGGCATCTCTAGGCTGCAATACCACGGTTTTGTAATCGCCCTAATCGCTGTGGTTAAACTCACAGCCAAGCTCAGGTCCTGTGTCTTTCTGTGAGGCTGAGCCTTCTCCAGTTCTCCAGGGACAGGCCCCACCGACGTCCTGTCAGCCCTGGCTAGTGCGGGGAGCTCAGGGCCAACCCCCGCGAGTCCGGGATTTGCATGGTCTCTAGGACGGCTAGTGGAAAAGGCAGTGGACTGCTGGGCTTGAAGCTCAAACGATGATCGTGAGCTGGAGATCGGGATTTGGGAGTTGTCACAGTGTGTATCAGGGCGAGCGGGTGGTAGGGGCGGTCCCCTGGGAGCCTGTATGGGAAAGAACCTGCTGAAGGCAGCGCCAGGCCCAGCCTACTGAGGGCTCTGCTCCGCTGTTAGACCATCCTGTCCCTAGCCAGGCACCTGCCGCACTGGCTCCCCTCAGCTCACAGGGTCCCCTGAGCCCTCCCATCTGACCAACAGCCCTCACCCGGCAGCTTCATTCAAGGCTCAGCCAGCTGCTCTGATGACGCACCTGGCAGGTCAGCCGCAGTGTTAGACACTTCGCCTCCTTATTACTCCAGGGACAGAGTGCTCCCTCCCAGAGGCCAGGCCCTCACTCCCTTTATTTCAAGGCCTCGGCCTCACTTTACATTCTTTTTTAAAAATATATATTTTATTGATTTTTTTACAGAGAAGAAGGGAGAGAGATAGAGTCAGAAACATCGATCAGCTGCCTCCTGCACACCCGCCACTGGGGATGTGCCCGCAACCAAGGCACATGCCCTTGACCGGAATCGAACCCGGGACCCTTCAGTCCACAGGCCGACGCTCTATCCACTGAGCCACACCAGTTAGGGCACTCACTTTACATTCTTAAGTGACTCTGAAGCCTTCCATCACCTCTTCCACTAAGTGATGGCTGCTGAAGCTGCATGTTTCAATTCCATGAACTTAAATATATGTGCTGGGGGTTGGAGGAAGAGGAGAGGGAGAGAGAGAGAGAACTAAACATTCTGCAGTGACAACTTCCGACTCAGTGAGAGTCAGCCCTGAAGGGAGCGTGGGTGCAAAGTGCACCTGCCGCACCTTCATCCCGACAAGCCAGCACTTGCAGATCGCATTCTGCAGAGCCCACAGCGCGTCACCACACTTCATCTGAGGCTCAACCGGAGAAAACCTGACCTGCTCCGACACCATGGGGAGCGTTGCATCTTCCACAGTGACGCGCAGGGGTAACATGGCTTGGTGTGATTTCCACCATGTTCCTAACTTTGGAAACATGATGATAAAGTGGGTCACCTCAAGAAGGAATGAATCCTGCACCCCTGGCGATATTTAAGCAAAAGCAAGTCCCCTCCTTCAGGGACGTCCAGGGCAGATTCCAGCATGGGCTAGGAGTTGGACTTGATCGTTTTTATACTGAAAACCCCCGAGCTTCTGTGAGTCAATGAATGGGACAGTGACCACCTATACTAATAATTAGAAAAAAAAGTAGTAATATGAACTGATAACCATGTTAGATGAAAGGCACGTGACCAGTCAAACTCCAGGCTTGCACCTAAACCCAGAGTCTCTTTTTAATCCAGCTCTCAGGGTCTCATCACCCCGAACTGGCTGGCAGTAACACCGTTAAAACCCAAGAGAGGCCCCACGTATAGGGAATTACAGTTCCTTGTATGTTTCCTATAAGATCATATCAATGGTTCTTAGATTAATCTTTGTACATTATTTCTTTGATCATTTAGGCAAATATTCCAGTTACAGCCTAGAATACACTTGTGTTTGTGCATTTTCAGACAATGAAAAGAATGCCACTGATGAATGTGCTTACCCACTTCTTCTGCTTTTCAGACTCATTAGTTTTTGTTTGTTTGGCACAGAATTCTTTTAAAAAAATGTGTCTAAATACTTTCAGGGAACATATGCCTGGCTCCCGTTGGTCACAAATCTCACCTGCCTAATGCAGGACGTCAGCTACCTCATACTTCATGTCACCTACCAGTCCCTACAGATCTTCCCTTGTCAGTCTTCTAATATGATCAATAAAATCAAGCCATGTAATCTCAGTGGGTTTGCATGATTCCAACAAAAACCATCCTTCCTCATTACTGTCTGTCTGTGCACATGCTTCTCTCTCACACACGCCTAGGCACAGTACTCCACCCTTTCTCAGTATTTGTACTGTCTCTCTGCCCATAATAGGTCTCCGTGGACCTTGGGTATCTGTAATAAATACTGTCAAACTGAATCCAATAGTATGTTATCCATCAGGCCAGGACCAGGACTGAAACCTGGAAATACCTAGGAGTGGATGGTCACAAAAATAAAACTAAGTTTAAAAGGGCTATTAAAATGAATGTTTCAGTCCAGATTGAAAATGTAGATCTGCTTTCTTAAGAAACGTTGATTGTGAAGCATCATATTAGCATAGGAATGATGACGCACATAGGGGGGAATTCCTATAGGGGGGAACTCTTTACCTCAGTGCTTCGAGAGGCCACAGAGAGGCGGGACAGAGCTGTGAGCTGCAAAGAGCCCCAGGCCTGCCATCTCTAGCCCCCAGGGTACCACTGGGTGAGGCTGGCTTTCCCGAAAGCTCCCACGCTGTGGTTACAGCGGCTCCAGATCTTGTGCCTCTCTGGATTTTTCCTCCTCTCCAAATGCCAAGGGCATGCTGGGCCTAGTTGGCGTCTGAGCAGTTATTGGCTGCTCGGTTGGAATTTCTAGCAATGAAGGGCATACAGCTTACTAATTATCTGCAAATGTGGTGAGTCTCTATTCTCTAAATTGCTTCTCATCTTCCAGCCACCTTGAATCTCTGCTCTTCAAGTGAGTACCTGTACGCACTATTTCTGTACCTTCTCCCTTCCATCCCCACTAACCAGGTTTCTGTCCCCATTATTCAGTTCCCACCTGAAATTGCTCTAATCAGGGTCTCTGTTGAACTACCTCTTTCTAAAGCTAAAGGACAACTCTTTGTCCTCATCTCACTCTACTGCTCAGCAATAGTCAACATAATTGGCCCCTCACTCATTTACTCTAGTTAAATGTCAAGTTGACCCTGAACTCTATCCTTACCTGGCTTTCCTACCACCTTCCAGGCCACCTCCTCTCAGTCCCATTTGCTGTCTCATTTCTTTGAACCGGACCTCTCACTGATGGAGTGGCCCACGCCTACTTTTCAGCCCTTTCTTGACTTTTTCTATATCTTTTCGAAGGTGGTATCATCCATGTCATGGCTTTAAATGGCATTGTTTGCTGAAAATTCCCAAATCCACTTCTTCCAGCCATGACCTCATGCCAATTCTCCACAAATAACTGCCTAATAGACATGTCCACTTGGCTGTTCCACAGACCTTTCCCTTTAGTGCTATCAACAACTATTGCTGCTTCTCATGTAAACTGCTCCATCTGAACACCCCTGTCTTGGAAAGTGTGCACCATTCATCCAGTTTCTCAAGCCAAACTTTGTTTTCTTTCCTCATACCGAGATCTAATGGAAAAGCAATCCTATGGGCTCTACCTCCCAAACCTTTCCCAAACCTCACTACTTCTTACCAACTATTCGGCTTCAACCTGAGTCCAAACCACAGTAATATCTTCCCTGAATGACTGCTGGCTTACCTCCTGCAGTCCATTCCCACCAGCAACCTGAGGGGTCTTCCTAGAGCACAGACCAGACGAGGCTAGGCTCCTGCTGAACCCTCATCCTCGCACCACCCCCTCCAGTGGCGTCCATTGCAGACAGTGTGGACTCAGCGAATTTCCAAAACCTACAATTGGCCCAACGGCCTCTACACGTCTCCTTCCGTTCTCCCCTTCATTATCTCCAGTCCAGACACCAACTGTTACCTTTTGTCCCTCAAACATCCAGGTCATTCCTGTCCCAGAGCCTTTGCACTTGATATTCTTTCTGCCTGGAATAACCTTACTCAAAATGTTTGTACAGCTGCCTCTTTTCATAATTACTTTATTCTAGCTATGAATTCAATGCTCCCTTTTTGATCTTCAATCTGACCTCTGGAGTCACACAAATGAATTAAAATTCCTCTCCACATGGCCCCAGGCAGGAGAAAGAAAGCATGCCCCACCATACCTTACCCCAAGCCATCCCTCCACGCTCTGCTGGGTTCTCCTGGGGGAAACTATCCTCAAGGACAGAAAGACAACTTTTCCCCTGGCACTTCCTAGGTATCTCAACAAAACCCCATGATACAAACCCCCTCGGCCTGACCTTTGTGTGTGCAAAACTTGATCCTCTCTCACCCTGTTCAGATGTATAATACAATTGCTTTCTGCTAAGCTTTTTTCTAAATTGGCAACTTTCTTATTTCCTTTCCATAGCTCTTTTCCCACCAAAGTCATTATCAAACAACCTGTTGGAGTCTGAGCATCAAGAGGATCTGAGTCACCAAGTCCCATGTGCTGTCTTTAGTGACCGTCACCTTCAATGATGATAAGTGATCATTTTAATCCTCGTTTTGTATGAGGAATCATGGGCCCTAGAGAAGTTAGGGAATTGCCCAAGGCCCATGCAGCGAGTGAGTGCGGAGCAGGTGTGGGAGATTGCAGGGTGTCCACACAGACCATCCAGGACCAAGGTCCTCTCCTCCAGCTGCTAGGAGTGCCGGCTGCTGATGGCACTCAGCTAGCCCCTTCTGCCGCTCAAGGGAGCTTCCTCAGCCAAAGTCAGAGGCAGGCCCCACCCTTGGGGCAGCCATGCCCCAGAGCCGGTTGCTGCTCATGAAAGGCACGGGCTCTCTTGCCCCTCTTAAGGACAGCTCCGAGAGGCCCTCCCAGCTCCAGAGATCTCTGTGGGGTCAGCCAAGACCCCTGTTGCAGCTGCACCACATTCCTTCCCCGCCCCTCCCCCGCCCTGCCTCCCGCATCCTCCCGGGAGCAGTACATCTCTGCTGCGGAGTCTGTGTCCCAGGCACCCAACACGCGGCATTGTGATGGTTCATTTTAAGTGCTAACTTGACCAAGCCACAGTGCCCAGTATTTGGTCAAACACTAGTCTAGATGTTTCTGTGAAGGTATTTTTCAGGTGAGATTAATGTTTGTTTGTTTGTTTTTATATATTTTATTGATTTTTTACAGAGAGGAAGGGAGAGAGATAGAGAGTCAGAAACATTGATGAGAGAGAAACATCAATCAGCTGCCTCCCGCACATCTCCCACTGGGGATGTGCCCGCAACCCAGGTACATGCCCTTGACCGGAATTGAACCTGGGACCCTTTCAGTCCGCAAGGCCGACGCTCTAATCCACTGAGCCAAACCGGTTTTGGCGAGATTAAATGTTTAAAATCAGTAGACCTGTGAGTAAAGCAGATTGCCCTCAGGCCCTCATCAATCAATTCAAATCAGTTGTATGTTTTAAGAGAAAAAGGCCTGAGATCTTCAAGAAAAGAATGAACACTGCCCCCAGACTGCCCACATGTCCTGCATAATTAGACTAGCCAGCCCCGACAATTCCTTCAAATTTCTCTTCACTCCTCTCTCCTCCCCTTCCCACCCCTTCCCTCTCCCTTCCCTACTCACTCTCTCCCTCCCTCCCTCCTTCCTCTATGCATATATATGTACTTGCTATTGGCACACATATATACCTACACACATACACATCTTAATGGTTCTGTTTCTCTAGAGAACCTAATACAGGCATCAAGGTAAAACTTCTGAATTTCCCTGATCCCAATGCCTTTCTTTTCACTGGACCACATGTGGAAGTCATGCTTTAGGAGGGCAGATGCACATTCTGTTTCCCATTCCACTCCTCAGCATGGACACTCTGGTTTCGCATCTACTCCTCTTGTTTCCAGTTTCCCCGCAATCAGCCTGGGCTGCCGGGGAGCCTGGCTCTAGCGCGTTCATGGCCAGGATCTGCACATGTGACCATGTGCAGGGAGATTCAAACGTCAGGAGAGGCAGAAGCAGGGAGGGGAGGGAAATGGCAGAGATAAGACCTCAGGAACTTGTTTCAACCAGTGGAGGTTTGAGGGCCGGCTATGTTCCGGCCCCAGTGAGAAGGTGGCGTCGAACCCTACCTAAGGCAAAGCTGGGCTTCTCAAACGCACCAGCCAGGAAACGAGGTGCCTGATGTGAGGCCTATGGAGAGAGCAGGGGCACCACATCTTGCCTGCCAGCCCTGGTCCATCCCAGGCAAGACCCCCGGAGGGGTCGGCAAAGCAGGAGCGTGACTTCCGAGAGGCCCCTTGCAGTAAATGGAGCACCGCCTATAGGAGGCAAACAGTTAGGTGCGGGGCTGGCTGGCTGTGGTCTCCTCAGAGCTCTCCACCACCGCCCCGGCGCCGCTCCCCATCCCACCTGGATAAGCTCCTCAGTTCCGAAAACTGGAGAAGACCACTGGGGCTGATTTCCCAGAGTGGGCGGATGCAAGGCAGGGCCTGAGCTCCCCCGAGGGAGTGCACCAATGATGATGCCTTCTCTTCAGGGACACAGTGGCTCAAGCAAGGTGCTGTTGCTGTCTCAACCTCCTTCTCTCCCAAGGCCCCCCTCTGAGCATCACCAGCCAACACTCAGCTCGGCTCTCGGAACCTCTCACCTGTGCTATTGCCCCAGTTTCTAGAGGACAGTTCTGAGACCCGAAGCGGATGGATAGGCATCCCCACCTACACATACACTGTCCTGGGGACTCTCCGCCCTCCCTACCTACCCCGGGCCCTCCTCACCCACCCCAGGCCCTCCTCTGGCTTTGGCAGCATGCCCTGTGCTCTGGGGGCATGTCTGTGAGGGCGGCAGGGTGGGAGGAGAGGGAAGCTGGGTAGTGCATGTGTGTGTGTGTGTGTGTGCGCCCGTGCACGCACGTGTGTGCGTGTGCCTGCCTCCCTCCCCATGGGGTAGTCACAGGAGACTGCGTCCCTCAGTTCGTGTCACAGCTCATTTCAGTGAGCTCACTCCATCAGCTCTCTCAGCTTCTGGGGTGTGGTAATTGCTCCTTCCCATGTCCCTTTGGACTTGGGGGAGTGGATCACTGCACCCTGGTTCCCAGCCCCAGGGCTCCATTATTTCCCTTGCCCACACCTTTATTAAACTCTCCTCAAATGACTCAATTTTCTGCCAGGACCCTGACTGATATATACAGTATTCCATAGAGATTTTGTGCTATAAGCATTGAAAAGCATCCACTTTTCACTGTCTTTCATAAATTACACTAGAGGTCCAGTGCATGAATTCATGCACCAGTGGAGTCCCTCGGCCTGGCCTGTGGGATCGGGCGGAGAAACCAGTTCTTCAACATTCACTAAGGAATACTGGATTGTGAGAGGGCCCAGGCCAGGCCGAGGGACCCCACCAGTGTATGATCAGGGCCGGGGAAGGACCATGGGGAGGGTTCCAGGGAGTGTCCAGCCCATCTCACTCAGTCCCAATCAGCCGGACCCCAGCAGCAAGCTCACCTATCAGTCGGAGCATCTTCCCCCCTGGTGGTCAGTGCACATCATAGTGAGCGGTTGAGCATCCTTAGCATGTCATTAGCATATTACACTTTGATTGGTTGAATGGCCAACCAGACACTTAGCATATTAGGCTTTCATTATATAGGATTTTTGATGATACAGGATAAACAATGCAACACTATGCATCAAAAGCTGTAAATTTAGTAGAAAAGCAGGGGAGGACAGAAAAGGACCCACTGGAGTCCCTTCAGCCCTCACACTCACCTCCCAGAATGTGTTATACCTTTAGACAACACAAAAGTCAGGGTTTATCTTCCATTTTATTATGAGCCTAATTAAAGCAAGGCTGAGTCAAGGTCAGATATTTAAAAACTAAGATGAAAAATTAAATGTGAGAATGGGCTGCAGACTGCTCTCTTTAGGTGATCACAGTGCAGGCGCCAGGGCTGATTGACAAGAGCCAAGAGCATCCCTCACAGTGGGTGGGCCTGGGAGAGCATGGCCAACACCAGCATGCACTCAGGCTGCAGCCTTCATGGCCTCCCACCTGGAAGAGGAGCCGTCCGTGGGCTTTCCATTTGCAGCCAGGATAATGCCACCAGCTGCGATGGCTGCTCTCCTCAGCTGGCTGCCCTGGGAAGAGCCGCTTGTTCCTCACAAGATCATTACTGAGGTGGCTGCAGCTCTCTCTCCATCTGCACAAAATGGAATCCCACACCACCAGCAGTCTTCCTCAGTTCGAATTCAAACTTCACACCTGTATGGTAGGGTGTGAGAGAGATCAGCCCTTCAGCACATTACACATAAATTGACCAGCCTCAGAAGGCAAACTGTCAAGGAGATGGATTCCGTGTTTTACATAAAAAGATTTCATTTTGCTAACTTTTATGAGAATCTCATACATGTTGTAGATTAGTATTGTCCAGTGGAAATATACTGTGAGCTACAAATGCAAACCACATATGTAATGTCAAAGTTTTCAAATAGCTACATGTTTAACAATGAAACAGGTAAACTTAATCATATGTTTTATTTATGAACTAGAGGCCCGGTGCATAAAATTCATGCACAGGGAGGTTGTCTCTCAGCCTGGCCTGCACCCTCTCCAATCTGGGACCCTTTGAGGGATGTCTGACTGCCAGTTTAGGCCCAATCTCACAGGGATTGGACCTAAACCAGCAGTCGGACATCCCTCTCACTATTCGGGACTACTGGCTCCTAACAGCTCACCTGCCTGCCTGCCTGATTGTCCCTACCGTTTCTGCCTGCCAGTCTGATCGTCTCCTAACCACCTCCCCCTGCTGGCCTGATTGATGCTAACTGCTCCCCTGCTGCCCTGATC